ACGTTACGGCCACGATATCTTGGGGTAACAAGGTTGTCCCTTTTTCTGGCAGGTTTTGGGTTTGGCCATTATCTTGGAGTTTGTGCGTTGCATATGCATCCCCCCACGAGGATACCTTCGCAGCTGGAAAATAGCGCGAATGGGGATTGGCGTTCTTCTTCCTTGTCTTCTTCTCTTTTCGTATTGAATGACTGGTACGGCTTTACTGTATCAACGTAGGGGGTTCTGAGTGGAGTTGCGGAGGCTGGGTCTCTTGGGGCCGGTTGGGTTACGGTGGGTGGGACGGCGGACATGGAAGGGTAATGTTGAAAGAGCAATATCACTCACGATTTCATGACCCAATCATTGATCTTTTCTTGCGACTTGTGATGTGATGTGATATGCTGAAACTGTACTGCCATTGCGTCTATTCCAGCCCATGAAGGAAGATGGAGGGTGCGAGAGGAGGCCACGTGTTTTAGTCCCTTTCGCAAGACTGGGCTTCCGTCCTTGGCTTACACTTGGTATTTGTGCTGTGTATGCATCAAGACAATTGTTCAAATACCGAACATACGACAAGGATGATCCTTACTTCCACGGAGAATACAAGGCCACCGTAATGACAGACTAAATAACCATTCATCTCTCTCTGTAAGTGCGGTCATGTCATGCCTTGTGCATGGCGTATGAAGGGATAGCTTGTTAGGAAGCTCTATTGGCATTCTTAGAAGTGCCGGTAATATAGGGCTCGCGTGCCATAGCAAACAGGCTATGCGCGTATGCTTACGACTTTAGTATGAACTAAACACTTGGGTTGGCTTGACGAGATATTCTGGTGTCCGGCGCCGAAGATAAGCTGACTATTGGGGGAGAGGTGTAAGCTCCTTCTAGATAGACTTGCTTTCCAAGCACTTTCTCGGCTCTCCTCTGTGGTCTTTGGAAGTCAATCTGAAGTTGATTTACGCTGGAGTTCAATCACGCTGTTCCCTCTCATTCGCATCGGTAGAACTACTTCTTCCCTCTATAATCAGAAGCAAAGTACCTAAGTAGGGCGTCGTAGTCTCGGACGGGCAAAAGCCGCGAGGGGCTTTCTTGATTCAAGTGACACGGAAAGCGTGCTTACCTCCTGGGCTAAGTGACAAGAGCGATGAGCTAGCTCTTCAACCAATGTTTGTGAGCTGACAATGACTGCCCGAAGCTTGGAATTTCAGGATCTAGAAGGCGTGGAGGCACTTGCATGTCGACAGTGCTGAATCCTACGGTCAAATCTGCACGTGAACGGCCGATCACATAGCATCCGTAGCTATTCTACCTGGGATGTATCGATAAGAAAAGGCTAAGCTTTTTGGGAGATATAGGGACATGGGCATATTGACCAGGAGTCTCCAATTCTGCGGCAACCCCATGCGGCAATGTATCTCCGCCCATGGCCTTGGATACGAAAAGGTGAATCTAGGCTTCTGGTGCATTGTCCAAAGCACGTCGGTAACGGGTAGCGGGTCGAGTAACCCCGACCGGTCAAACTGTTGTGCCAAGAAGGCACAGCGGCTTGGTGTGCATCGGGAAGCAAGGAACATACGACAAGCGCATTCGAAGTACCGTACAATAATTTAGCCTACAAGTTGCGCGCAACAAACTTTCGGTATTGGAGAATGATCCAATGAGCGAAAGGTTCTTCGTCAATGGTCATGATCGTGCTTCCTCTGACGCAATTGAAATCCGTTGCGCGACTCCAAGGGCGGGGTCGCGATATGCCGACACCTTCCAACCCCACGGGGTCATTGCGCTTAGCCTCATCGCCGGCCTCTCTAACCCTGGGCTAATTGAACGCCATCGGCCCTCTTCCACCATGCCATGCCGCAAATGGTTTACCAGCGAGCCGCATGATGACGAAAATGCCGCTTTATGGGTTCTGCCGAGATAATCTAATATTCTCTTTGCCGGGACGAGAACGGTCAAGGGTTTATCCGGACAGCTGCTTCATATAATGGGGCAGTCTCCGCGATTTGGAGATGTACAGTCGGTCAATCTCACCTCAAGATGCCATCTACATCCGTCTTCCTGGCTGCTAGCGCAGCAGTTGGCTGTGCTTTCGCGCGGACTGTACCTGAGTCTGCACAGGTCGTTGACCAGAAGAGCTTCAATGTCTTGGAGACAGTCCCGCCACCTTCTGGAGCCAATGCGACATCGGTACGTTTTTCATCTTTACATCCTCGTGAAGCTCGAAAGGATCTAACAAAGACATAGCTCTTCGTTTGGCCCAGTGTGACTGCCGATTCTCTTCTGGAGAAGCCTTTCCACATTTATGACGAGGAATTCTACGACGTCATCGGCGAGAACCCTTCGTTGACCACCATCGCAACCTCAGAGTCGGACCCGCTCTTCCACGAGGCTGTTACGTGGTACCCTCCGACAGAGGAGGTGTTCTTCGTCCAGAACGCTGGTGCGAAGGCTGCGGGTACCGGACTGAACAAGTCTTCCATCATTCAAAAGATCAGTCTTTCGGATGCCGAGAAAGTTAGGAATGGATCCCTAGAGGCAGCACCTGTCACTGTCGTCGACACCGCAAACCCCCAGGTTATCAACCCTAACGGCGGTACCAACTACAAGGGCAACATCATCTTCGCCGGTGAAGGCCAAGGTGACAACGTGCCATCGGCATTGTACATGATGAACCCTCTGCCACCGTACAACACCACCAGTGAGTATCCCAATCTCACCCAGAAACAAATAGTGACACTAACCATCCTAGCTCTTGTGAACAACTACTTCGGTCGTCAGTTCAACTCGCTGAACGATTTGGTCGTCAACCCAACAAATGGCGATCTTTACTTCACCGACACACTCTACGGATACCTCCAGGATTTCCGTCCCGTACCCGCTATTAGGGAGCAGGTGTACCGATACAACTTTGACACGGGTGCGCTAACCGTTGTTGCTGATGATTTCGGCCACCCCAACGGAATCACCATGTCGCCCGATGGCAGGAAGGCGTACGTCGCCGACACTGGTATTGCAATGGGTTTCTACGGTTACAACTTCACTGCCCCCGCGTCGGTCTACTCGTTCGACGTCTGTGCGGATGGTACTTTTAGCAACCGCAAGACCTTCGCCTACCTTCCCGTTGGTATCCCTGATGGTAAGTTTCGCACGTGGACATGCAACCTTGAAAATGCAATCGCTAACGTTCCACGACAGGTGTACACACCGACTCTATGGGCCGTGTTTACACTGGTGCCGGAGATGGTGTATGGGTTTACAACCCTTCGGGCAAGCTCATTGGAAAGATCTACACGGGTACGACAGCAGCCAACTTCAAGTTTGCGGGAGAAGGACGGATGATCATTACCGGTCAGACCAAGCTATTCTACGCGACCTTGGGCGCCTCTGGAGCACCCATTCAGTGATCGACGAATCCGTCAATGTCGCTGTCTAAATTACTGAACGTATACCATAATGTGTTGTACCGCACAAATAGACAAATAATGTAATTTGAAATATCAGAGCTGCATAATGCCAGAGATTGAACACTGCCCAAGTGACAATGCTGCCCAAGAGGATTGAAAGATGCAACGTGCTAGTACCTGCGTTCGGTGTATTCTTCATCAGGTTCGCCTTCCCGAGGCCAGAGTTCGCCTGCAGGCCGCTGTTGCATGGTGGCGTTCACTAAACATCCACTAATTATCTATTGGCCCTCGGGTGTTGGAGTCCAATGCGCAGGTTCGCGAGCCCACACGTGACCTTCAGGCCTAACATAAGGGGAAGCTAAGTCCACGCGTCCCGAGAAAAGGGCCGCCACTTTCAGTCGGCGCAACCCCGGACCCCAGGGAAAGGTAGCCTCCGGCTCCTGCACATTGCTAAACGCCACTTCGACACCAGACAAAACACGAAGCGATACAGCACTGCCTCCTCTTGGGCACCTGAGCCAGTTGGGTCTCATGATGCAACGCTGCTGGAATACAATTCACACGATTTCTAAGTGCGCAGATCTTTCACTGATCAAATGATGCAAAGACCGCATTTTGTTCGTGCCGCGTGGCTCAGCGACTGAACAGCACGCCGTCTGCTTGGCACATGGTCACAGAAACTAGAAGCTCTGAACCGCACTTCCCCCATACTGCAGGTACTTCAAACTTTAAATCACGTACGCTGCAAGCGAAGAGGTCCAAGCAGGAGGTATCAAACCGACGCGCTTTCTATATGACACCGGGAACCAAGTATTGGTATCGTCCGTTAGTAGGGGTCGAAGAAGCGCATGAAGCTTCTAGCCCTGTGTTTCCTTTTTGGTCGATCCGGAGAACCTTCCATCGACCGTGCATGGACAACAAGAGACACCGACGATGGTACCGAGATCATCCAGGCCTCACGTATAGTACCCGAACGCGAGATGTGAAGGGGTCAGAGGTTCATCGGCTGCTGGCCGTTGTAACACCCATGGCAATATCTTACAGATAATACGGCCCAGGTCATCATACGATGCTTGATCGTAAAGCCAAGGGGTCTTTCAAGGAAAATAGAATTGGACAGGGACATGCTAGCTACGGGAAGCTGACAAGGCTACAGGAGCGAATCGCAACCTGACATCGCGCTGAGGATTAGCAGGAACGGACCGATATCTGATTGCGATTCAAGCTAGTGTGGCTTGCATCGCATTCGACTCCCACCAATGGGGGCTTTCACGCAAGCGAACATGATGTGTCGCCAAGCAAAGGAGGGTCTCATGAGATGTCTTCCGCCCTCCCCGGACGAAACAGACTGTCAGTGTGAGGGATTTGCTGGCTGGTTTCCGCGTGGACCAGGATCGGTATGTCGTAAAGCCCCTGCGGTTGCGGCTCAGTACGGCTGAAATCGAGATAGGTAGCATGGAAAGGTTCAGATTACCCATTCATGGCGATACCCCGGCTACACCGAACCTAGCTGGACGCTGAACAAGTCTTGTGGAGGCGATCCCCAGATCCGCTTTCAAACTCCACCTTTCGCTTCGTTGACTGCTTTTCCCTCAAACATTCTCTTGCCTCGCGATGGCAGTCGACATCGTGGTCTCCAAGACCATTGCGGCAGTCTTCCTTAGCATAGCACTTTACAACTTCCTCGAACTTAATGTCTACATCTTCACCTTGTTCAAGAGACGGAGCGGGCTCTACTTCTGGAGCTTCACCATATCGACATGGGGCATCGTCTTCAACGCCATCGGCTACACGCTCATGCACCTCGCAAATATTCCGCAAAAGAACATTTACGCCACATTCATCCTGGTAGGATGGTGCGCGATGATCACCGGACAGTCTGTCGTGCTTTACTCGCGTCTACACATCGTGATGCACAACAGGAAGAAATTGAAAGCCGTTCTGGTTATGATCATTACCAACGCCATATGGCTCCACATACCCATCATCGTCCTGGTCTACGGAAACAATTCCGATAACCCCACACCCTTCGTACAGCCCTACCAGATCTACGAAAAGATCCAACTCAGCGTCTTCATCGCCCAGGAACTCATCATCTCCGGTCTCTACGTATACGAAACGACGAAGCTCCTCCGTATGGAACGTACGATCGGAAACTTTGGCACGAAAAGCCTACTCCAACACCTCATCTTTGTCAACTTGCTCGTCATCCTCCTGGACTTCAGTATCCTGGGCCTCGAATTTGCAGACATGTTCGAGATCCAGACATCGTGGAAGCCGCTCGTATACAGCATCAAGCTCAAGCTCGAATTCAGCATCCTTAACCGCCTCGTCGCCCTGACTCGGAACGCTCGGAGTGGATGTGCCAGCTCGTACAGCAACGGCGGAAACCGGTCAGCGGCCGTAGCGCTAGGAACGGTTCGAGGAACGGGACATCAACGCTCCGCTTTAGCCACAAACACGGAGCACCAAGAACAATGGGAGGTACACGTTACCAGCGGAAAAGCAAACAACGACCAGCTCCCCTCGACCGTTATCAAAACAACAGAGTTCACAGTCCAGAGCCATAGTCGCAAGGACAGTGACGATAAGATTAGCTTCGCAGGGAGCAAGGAGGAAATATTGGCACACTCGGCGGCTCACAATACTCAAGGGAGTACGTCGTCGGCGTCGTCGGATCACATTCAATATAACGGACGATACGATAGCCAGCCCTGGCAATAACCCGAGATTGCGTGTCCTCTTGCGCATGCGGTTGTTACGAGTTTCTTTGATACCAATAGACTTTTACTTTGTTCCCTTCAAAGACACGAATGTATGAGAATGCCATGTATTTACATTTAATACTGCTAAATTTCACTAATGTTGAATCTTTCCACACATACTATCCAGTTGCCTCACCTGAGCTCACAGTGCAATTATCCAGCTTGAGGGACTAGACACACCCCCTTTACTAGGAACTGTGTTTCCAATCAGATTCTTCAGTCGCTCACTATGTAGGCTAGGCTACTCTTCTGCAGTGTCGAACTCGTCAGTATCGGAGTCTTCGACAGCAGAATCATGGCGCTCGTGTTCAAACGCAACCGAGTCTGTAACGATGGGGCGAGGCGATGCTAGCGCTAATTTCCCTGGCTCCGAGAACTTGACTGAGGCCACCGAGCGAATAGGGCTAGCCTGATTATGATGCGCTTCATCCCAGGCCGACTCGTTTGACGAAACTGAGGAAGCTTCAACACTCGAGACATAGCTCTTAAGCAGAGGCTCAGTATCATCACTACACTCGCTGTCTTCGTACCCTGGAGATACGTTGTACATTGGTGAGGGGTAAAGTGCTGACGAGTATCCCAGCTGTGGCGTCGCAAGACCAGGGCTGATGCGGTTTTCGGAGATTTGTGCGTTCCGACTGTGAAGCGACGAATCTAGAGGGTCGAATGTTATACCGAACGCGAGGGGCTCCGGGAAGGGCTCTCCGATATGACATGTTTCAGTGTCGGTGTGCCGTAGCTCTAGGAGTGATCGGTTATGCAGTGGGTCAGCTGAAGGCTCGATAGTGTGCTCTGTACATTCTTCGACGCCTGAGAGTGAAGCCTCGATAGACTCAAGGTCAGTGTGGTCTCCAGAGTCCAAGAACCAAGTATTCATGGCTTTGAAAGGGTTCCAGAATCCCGACTTTTGGTGACCTCCTTGTATCTTCGCAGCTACCTCAATGCCGGATGCTACGGCTGTGATGGGATCAACCAGATCATCCGCGCTAACCTGTAGGAGCTCATCATCAAAGGACTCTGGAACGTTGTAGATACCCTCCTCATCAATCAGATTAGCGTAGTCAACAGGACATGAGAACTTCTCCGCCCCGCGCTGTAACCAGTCAGCAAATTCGCGGACAGCAATGTCCGGTCTTCCACGATACTGGCCACAGTATTTGGCAAGCTCCGCAGTAGTGATGCGCGACTTGCTCGGGAACTGGGCCTGGAAGGCTAAAGCGAAGCGATGTATAGCTTCTGAGTTGTATCGTTTGCAGACGTCGTTATCAAAGAGGCGTTTGAAGGTCATAATTGAGCTGGCTTTGCTTGCGTAAGAGATGTCGAACTTGCGCTCTACACGACCAGCGCGATACAGTGCTGGATCAAGCTTCTCCGGATGGTTTGTCGTCATGATAATTATTCTCCCTTCCGTGGCATTGACACCATCAATGATATTAAGCAAGCCCGAAAGAGTTACTGATTTGGGTGTAGAATCTGTGGTTTCAGAGGGCTTCGTTGTCTTCTTTGGATCGGTCGCATTAGCGAAATCTTCAGGCTCACCTAGGACTTCTAGAGTAGCCGCCTTTATAGCTTTGACTTGGTCGAGCACCCTGTAGTTTGCGACACTCTGCTTTTCCATGAATTGTGCCAGCATGGTCTCCAGCACATTCATTTCGGGCTTCTCTTCAGTGTCCCCAGAGCCTGACGACTGAGACTTAGGGCCGAGTTGCGTATCTGGTTTTTGTGCGCCTCGGTTACCGACATCGACACCGACACAATCGATATCCTCAAGGCCGATGCAGCTCCGGAAAGGAACTCGACTAAAAGCTTCCCTTAAGTCATAGTCATCCATACCTTGTAGGTTGATGATATACAGGGGCACATTCATGTGCGAGGCAATCCCAGCCAACAGCGACGATTTGCCAGTACCTGGTGGGCCTGCGAAAAGGTAACCATGTCGGTAGGGTCGACCACTATTCTCATACCAAGCTTGGGAATCTTTATGGAAGAACATCTCGATGTCCTGGGTAATATCCCGCATCATCTTTGGGTCAAGATCGATAGAGGACAGAGGACGCTTGTTGCGCTTGGACTTCTTGTCTCCATGTGCTCCCATCTCGACTACGGTCAATTGTGTGCTTTCCAAAACCTGCTTTTGAACATCCTCAAACAGCTCTGTGATAGGCTGTCGACTGTGTCCCCAGCATCGAACGGTGATGGATCCCGAAGGATCGGGAAGGCTTGTGAAAAAGTCATTGGTGCGCAACCGTTCAAGCTCTGATTTTTCCGCAGTGCCAGAGCGCTGAATCTCGAGCATATACTGCCTGCCTTTGTGCCAGAAGGAGCCTGCTGTCTCTCCAGCAATAAGCGAAAGCTCGCCTGTAACCGCACGGAGTTGATGCTCTCCGCGAAAACGTCGAAGCTTCCGGCTTTCTTCAGCCTTTTCGCGCGCTAGAGTCAGCACCCCACCACAAAGTACGCTGTCATAACCACTGATGGTAATAGAACTAGTGACTTGTGGCTTTACCTGGTTCAAAAGCGCGCTCAGTATGACTGGAAGCTGTACACGAGCAGCATTGAGAGCCGCACATGTCATGATCAGGATCTGGACATCTCGACCTCCAGTGCGCTCTTTGATGGCATTTCGGGCAATATCATAGAACTCCGAGTTCATGTAGTTCATGATCCAGGAATCTTGACCTCCGCTGAGTACACCAAATAACCATGACTGGAAAGTCGTTGGAGGAGTGTTGATAGCTTGTTCTTTTGCCGCGTCGTCCTTTAATACTGAGACCGAAGTAGACTTATCAAATCGGACTTCTTGAGGAGCATTCCCAGGAATTCTGCATGATTTGCACATGGTTTAGCGAAGAAACCTCTAAAGCACTCACCAGGAGGGCCAATAAGGTCTGAAGTGGATGGCAGCTGCTGTCCGTCGAGAGCGAAGTAAGACCTTTGTAGTCTGGCCTGGGTCTAGACATGTTTGCAAACAGCAACGCAGCTTTTGACAGTGCGCTGACATTGCCTACAGTGTCATCTTGAGACGTGATAGGTGTTAACACAACGATGTGCTGTGGCTTCGTGTCGCGAAGATACTGTGAAGAGGTGGCAATGTCGACAGTGTTATGTTAGTTTTTTTTATTAGCACTGTCGCAAGTACTTGAGATAAGGCCATGATACGGGTCGATCATCTGCGGGCGTCATGGACTCGATATCGCGGTTTCTGCACACCATGTCCACCTACAAAAAAGCTAAACAGGCCTGCAATCTACATCAACATGAGAACATGCAAAGTAGATAACCTAACGTTGATGTAGGCTCTAGACCTGTTCAGGTTTTTTCTTGTCTAAGGTGGCGGCAAATCTGAGCTCGTCATTGCTGTTCCGCATCAGGCTCGGCTATCTGTGAGGCCCGACAAGCACTTCGGGTGAGCGCAGTGCTGGATTGGACAGAGAGCTATTTAAGTCGAGGTAAGGCCGTGTTTCTACACTTCATCATCGGAGAGAAGCTAGGTATCATAAGTCGCAGAAGTGGTGAGTCCCGCCGATGCGTCGTGTTCGAGCGAAGGTGCCCGAGACACAGAAGAAACGGCCTAGCGAACAGCAGCCCCCACCGGCTGAACCACAGCCGAACTATCACTCCTCAGACACCACGCGTCTCGAAATGAAATTCGCATGCCTCATAAGGCATATTTCGTCCAATATTGCATGAAAGCCAGTTCTCGCCCTCTACCAAGCATCATGCAAAGGCCACTGGGCACTCGACACCTCCACCGGCTATCGCGGGTTACGAAGCTTCACTGTAATTGCGCTTCCTTGATTTCCTGCTAACGACATATCCTGCTTCAGGCTGTCCTTCGCGCTTCTTTCCTTCTGTCGTTACTGCTGGTCAGCATGCATCGTTGTTGAGCAATGATTTCCACTTCTTTTTTCTCGTTCCTTTCACTCTTTTCACTATGTCTAATGCACAATGTCGTCGGTGCGCAGATGCTGGGATCATGGTCGCCGAATCATGGGGGATTCGAGAGACGACAGAACGGTGATAATAATCGTAATGGACAAAACGATGGGCCCGACAACAGCGCGTTCACTATCGTGAATGGAAGAATATTTACACCTGGCTTAGGAATCATCCTTGCAGTAAGTGGAAGTGTCAAGACGCGCGATTCTCCTGCTGACAAGAACACCAGCCACAGCCATTTACGCCCATGGGCGGCGACTTCCTTCACATCGCGCTCGATGTCTCAGGCGATGGCAAACTCCAAGTGCCGCCACGCAATATCGCCGACCCGCTCACCCAGGTCTTTAACTTTACGCTCTTCCTTACATCTACGGTTACGCAGAAGAACTTCACTATATCGAACATAACGACGTCCACACCACCACTCGCAGACATACTAGATCAAGAAAGTGGTCAAACAGTCAAGCACATCAACTTCGAATGGCCTGAGTGTTTGGTCGGAGACAACAACGAGGATGAGGGTTCTACTGCGAGGGGGGACTACAACATCAGCATACACCAGAACTATCGACTGAATGGCGTGGATCGGTACACCATCTTCAACCTTCCCATCAGCGTTACGAATAGCATTCAGCGTTTCCCTGGTGCCTCGCAGCTTACTACAAAACCCGCCCCCGGTCCGCTCAGTGCAAATGGTGGACGGATGCCCTGCGCGATGATCGAAAACCCCTTGGTCGACTTCCAAACCCAGGTCAACAGCGTTAATAACCCACCGGGTACGCCTATGCAGGACATCGAGATTGAGACAAGCGGAAGGAGTGACGGTGGTCAAGTTGGAGGAAATGGAGCGGATGACGGATCGGGTGGGAGGGGAAGTGGGAACACCAATGGTAACGGCCAGGGTGGTACGAGTGGGCAAGGCGAGATCGCAGGTCCAGGCGGTAACGCTCAACTGGGAGCGGCTGTGCGGATGTCGGGGGAGCAATTCTCGATACTAATGATTGGCATGTTGGGAGCGGT